TTCTGGTACGATACTTGGCCATTTCCAATCTGGCAACACTACTGCTGACTGCATATATCTACTACAGTACACGGATCCATTCAGTATAACTAAACACAGCAACATAAACATGACAAATCAAAACATTATCTTGAATGTGTGTGGAAACAACGTGAATGTATGGAAATGCCTGTGCCTGTGCATAAATACAATGTGCGATCAGTGCGTCAAGAGCTCATACAAGCATTAGTCATTTTAACTGAACTTCGGACTGGTGGTGGTGCTTTTTTGGTCATTCAGTGTTTCTGTAAAAAAAAAAAAACTTTGGGAAAAAGCTAACAAAACTACAGATAAGATAATGATACGAATTCTACTAATAAGAACGATATAAAACGCACTAAGGATTAATGAGCTGCTGGATTCATGAATATTAATCAGGTTGTGTGCGTTCGCTCGAACTGATTTGCTGAAATCAAAACAGGGATGATAATAGGTGAGTGCCAGCCAATGAGATTGCCGCTTGCGCATTAGTTCCGCCCACTACCGGAGAAACCGGCAGTTCTTAAAAGCTGAAGAATTCCAAAGGAACGCTGTTAATTTGACAGGAAAATACAACAAAGAATATAGTTTACATGTAGTGCATCAATTCTCTATCTCTCTCTCTCTCTCTCTGCGCGTGTGTGTGAAACAAAGCAACGATGAGTTGTGCGCCTTCACACTAGAGTTTACGGTTCGTCAAATACAGATGCGTTGCACATCCATTCAGATGAACTGAAAAATGGCACAGATCGCTTGACGGAGAGTGAAACTCTGAAGCGCTCAGTCAGAGAGTGTTCGGCGAGTGAAACAGTATCTGTGCTAAACTCAGAGCCAATCCTAGACTTCTGGGGGCCCTACGCAGAATTGTGTCGGCAGGGGGGGTGGTAGGAATAACAAGTTATGAATGAATAAAACGCCTTTGTACGCCTGAGAAACTGATTTGACTGATTGACTGATTTTTACGTAGAAAGGGTGACAGAGCACCGCATTAAAATAAATGACATAAGTGGTTTTCATAACCGCTGGCCAGATTCAAAAACTACACTAAAATTAAATCATCTTTGAGAGCAAGGGGGCCTCCTGGTGTTTCGGGGGCCCTACGCAGCTTGCGTACTTTGCGTATAGGGAGGATCGGCACTGGCTAAACTTATACTTAGCCTCCAACTCACACACAGGTGAGTAAAATCTGAGAATTTATTAGCCATTGGCTAATATTAGACATCATTTAGTCGCCCAGAGTGAAGATTTAGTCGCATATGCGAGTGATTTAAAGGGTTGCCCCTGAATTCTCAACTATCCAATCCACCTAACATGCACTTGGGGCCTCAGGATGTCTAAAATGATTTAAAATAAGGTTTAAAATAAGATAAATTATAATAATAGTAGAAATAGAGCAGGATATGTAGTATTTTGATTAGGGATACACCGATATGAAAATTTTGGCCGATACCGATAACCGATTATTCTTTATTTTTGAAAGCCGATAACCGATATGTTGGCCGATAAATCTATATCCAAATTGTTATATACTTTTTGAGAGCCTGATTACAAAAAAGGTCTCATCTGTTAACGAACAATGAAAAAATAACCATCAAAGATAAAAATACCTAGCTAAAAATGAATTATTCTTTGGTGGAATGCAGAAAAAAACTGCATATACTGCCCTGAATAGTTCTCTTCTATCAAATCCACCTATCTTGTGCTAAAGATGTTTGAAAATGATATAAAATGTTTTAAAATAAAATAATAAAAAATAGTAATAAAAATAGAACAAATTATTTATTATTTTAATCAATCACCTCAACTGTTTTTTGGAGAAACAGGGTTTGCAGGTTTTGTCTTGAAAAGCCAGTGTATATGACAAAGCCTAATTTAAAATTTTCGACTTTGATTTCTAAGCCTGGAAAAGTCATGTCAAATTAATATACATTGAATATGAATTTTCTAGCTAGGCCAATCTCTAAAATGTTTTATTGCATAGAAATTGAGTAAAAAATATATATATATTTTAAAAAAACATAATCCTTTAAAAAAAAAAATCAGTAATCACAAACAATTGAAAACATCTTTTAAACTAATTTGATGAAAATAGTAAAAACAATCAGTTCTTAAAACTTCAAGAATCCTGAAAGGTTAATTATTTTAATTTTAATTATGTTAGTTGCTTGTTTCAATCTATGGACACTCTCTCCTTCCGCACATTATTTTGGCAGATTCCAGATTCTCAAATAGTTGTATCTCGGACAAATATTGTCCTATCCTAACAACAACAACAAAAAAGCTTATTTATGGAAAGCTTATTTATTCAGCTTTTTGAAATAAATCTCAATTTTAAAAAATTGACCCTTATGACTGGTTTTGTGGTCCATGGACATACATATGTAACTAATGTGGCGAACAACCTTGTCACATCGGGTCTACACCATACCCGCTGATTTTGATCTGTTCCTCATATTAACCTGACATATGGCTTCAGATGACTTCCTAATGTTTTTTTCAGACTCATCCACTGTCATTCAGAGGATCTCTTTCATCAGATTGAGGATTTAATTTGTTGAGATGGATTTGGAAATGATTAAGTGTTGGACGGACGTCTGACAGTGAGATAAAACACTCTTCCTCTTCATTTATCCGAGTGATGGCTGCAATTACAGGCATGGTGGTTTTTTTTAGAGAAAATATCTAAAACGTAATATCCTTCATGCGTTATGACTGCATGTAGAAATCTGTTTCTCAAACGTTTCACCACAAGATCTTCTTAAGCCCGGTTTTGTGGCAGCTAAATGGATCCAATATCTGGCATTAGCCTTACGTAAACGGCTATTAGAGTGACTCGCACAGCTTTGAGAGGAACCAGCATGGACAGTATTTGCAGACTCTGACCTTTCTAACCTCAGAGGAGCCACCAACTGAGGAGCACACAAACAGTGCAGTCCAGTAGCAGAGTTACGCCAGCAAGACATGGCTGGCTGACGGGACTGCGGTTAAAATTTCCCCACAGACATAAACACAGTGACACTATCAATTTCCTGCATTGGGTCTTTTAACAAGAGTAAGCAGGCCTGTGTGTGAGGGGGAAGCCTCACTCTGCTCAGCCAGGCCAAGACTCCTGAAGGCTTTGTCTAATCTCTAGTATTAGTTGAATGCACTGAAGCGTTCATTTTACTTCAGTGCAACAGCCAGTATACAAGACCCCAGCATAGTGAACTGTTGAATACGATTGAGGATTTTTTTTAGAACAGAAAAGCTTAGAGCAGGTATGAAGACAAATTGCGGCTGACTTTTTTTCCTATTTTTGAAATGACTTCTCAAACAAAAAGAAAGTAGGGCGACACTTGATTTTGTCCATCGGGAATTGACTGGATTGTAGAAAGTGTTGTTGTTTGCCGTTTTCTCGGTCATTTCATGCGAGTGACAAGATGAGGAGAGATTGTCCATTTTGATTCCATGGTCACTTTCCAATCTCAAGGCTACAGCTCTGTCCATACTTTTTCAACTCGACATTTTGTTTCATCAGCTAACATTTTTGCCAGTAATTTCAGAGGGAGGAGGACAATTGTAGAAATGTGTTTTCATGTGTTTTCAGATGCTCTATAATGACAATTATTATCATCATCTTGTTCTCTGTAGGTCCTCCACGTGTAGCAGAGAAGGTAGCTCACCGTCAGACGGTCAGAATTGGACGCACCATGAAACTTCAGTGTCCTGTGGAGGGTGATCCACCACCCCTCATCATGTGGACCAAAGACGGACGAAACATCCACAGTGGTTGGATGCGCTTCAAGGTCCTTCAGCAAGCTCTCCGTATCAAAGAGGTGGAGACAGAGGATGCTGGGACATTCATTTGTAAAGCCACCAATGGTTTTGGCAGCGTCAACATTAACTACACCCTCATCGTCATTGGTAAGTTATACAAAACCTCTCAAGATAGCAGTTTATTTTGACGACAGTGAGTCACGTAATAATTGCTTGGAGAACTTCTGCCTAGTTCACAATACATGTTCTTAACCTTGTTCTAATGTTACTGAGAGTATTCTAAATGAGTGACCACATGCTTAAGGTTAGTAACATGCATAAAACCTGCCAAAAGCTCTCCATATATTTAACCTTTACAGCCCTTTGTCACTCTCAGCAAGCATATGATGCTCTTTAAAAACGCACGGCAAGATCCTCAAGCAATGCTAAGTGTGCAAAACTAGTTCAAACACAATAAACACCTTTTATACTGACCCAGATTACAGACCTTTCATTAGCCAGCTGTAAATACACATATCTACATCAGGTCCAGTTCCAGAATCAAACCACTGAGGGTGGAAGCTTTGCATTGTGTACGTGACCATTGGTCCTCTAAGCATGAAACCAAAAGTTTTATACAAATTCAAAATGGAATTTATGTAGCCTAGAAAGCACACAAAGGAGCGCTCTCTTTTTATTCACTCAGCACTGGACAAAAACTCCGGCCTCTGATGCCTTTGATTGGCCATTGTGTACAAAAAATCAACACAGTATGTCTGTGAATGGCTACATTGCTTAACGCTGCAAAAACATGTTGTAAATAGAAACAAGAGCACAAGCACAAATACGCACTGGAGCGTCTTCCAAATGTTTTTTCACCAGTATACTGTTATTACAGCTGAGGGTGTTCATGCTTTTATGTAAATAAGACTCATTATCTCCTAAACTAAATTATTTTTAATATATTGTTTTGTAGCATCCTTGGTCAAAGCATTGACGGTGCACAAAACCTACAAACAACCAGAATCGGCCTAAAATATGTTGGGCTATTTTTGTAAAAAATATTAAATAGACTATACTATCACTCACAGCCTCATTTTTAAATAAAATATGACATCTGTAGCCATGAACAGCAACTTCCTTTGTTGACTTGAGCCAACCAGAAATGGCCAAATCAAGCAGAAGGATCCTTAAAATACTTAATCCACAGCTCTGTGATCATTTTGGGATTTCGATGGCCTTTTCTCAGACCTGCAGTCCAGTACTTGGACCTTTGTTCTACTGTGTGTAAAGTTTAGATGGCTGAATGAGCGCGCTGGCCACTCGCCAACTTAATCAGGGCCTAATTTGGCCACGTTCCAAATAGTGATCCGTCTACTTGCATGAGGAGGGGCTCTGGGCCAGTCTTGTGATCTCACCACGTACATTCATCAGAGATGGTACACAGACAAAACGGCAAGCCACCGCCATAACTTCTAAATGCCCAGCAGTGTTCACATCTGCCTTGTGTGTGTAGTCACCTTAAACTTCAAGGATGATAATGTTAACCAGTGGGGTAATTTGGGACTGCAAAAGCATCCATCTAAAGCAATGCCAAGTCTAAATGGAGACCCTGGTGGAGTGCCTCTTTCAGGGCGAGTTTTATATTAGCTGGTCTAAGTTAATGATCCTTTTATTTAATGATCCTCTCAGATGAGCCCTATGTAATGCAAGACAATGGAGCTAAATTAGAGGAATTGAGAACATCCCCAGCGGTGAATGGACTATTTGTTTTGTAGCATACAGTGGGTCATTAGTGATCCTGACCCCTGCATGTGCATCTCTTAGTGTGGTGGCTGCATATAGTAAACCTGTTTCTTTCTGTTGAAGCGTGTGTATCCCAGTCTCCCTACTCATAACTGGGGAGTAGAAAATCATTTTCCTTTGCCCTGTTAATTATTGTATTTCCTGTTGAAGGACAATGTATAATGTTTGTCAAAGTGTGCGTGCTAATTTATAATCTCAGATTGAATATCTGACTGATATATAAAAACAAAGTAAAGCTGGTTCTAAATCAGCCTTTTCACTCCTGAACAACAAAATGACAATGCAAACAAACGTTTCTCTTCTACAGTAATTCTTTATCAGGCTTATCAATGAAAGTAAAATCCACTTTGGGCATTCATATGATTTAATGGAAAATGCAACCAAGTACATATCCATGTTTTGGATATTGTCCCTCTCTTTATGTGACTTATTTAATACCATATATATATATATATATATAAATTTATTTTTATTTTTTTCAGAATGCATACTCCGTCTCACTGCAAGATGACCAATACCATTTAATAATAAACGAATCAGACTCTGCCTCACAATTTCGGACAGCACTATGGGACAGCATAAAAAAATAAAATAAATGTCAAATTCACACTCAGTTTCACTGCAAATGCTAAATTCTTTACTGAGTAGGTTAATGGAATTTTCATGAAATTGTAGCTTTTTTAGAATATTCAAGGAAAATAAATAATAAATAAATATACTGCATGAAATCTACCCATTCCCTCCCCACTCTAGCTGAAAATCAAGAGTAAACATCATGAAACATGTGAGGAGAATTGAAGCAAGCAATATGAGAATAAGAAAACAAGCGTGTATAAAAAGTCTTCTCATAATTAAGCATGAATGAGAAGTTACTTTGCAGCTGAAGGCAATAAGCGAACCCCTGAACTTTGGGCGGGTAGGGAGGGGGGCGGCAGGGGCAGCTGCCAAGATGACCTCAGTTGAGCAGCTGCACCCACTGTGCTGGGACGCCCCAAGATGTGCCAGGACGGCTTTGATGCACCGCAACCATCTCCGCCATGCTGTTTAGTCAGGGCCCTTGAACTTGGACTTGTTTGTTAATCCCTCTGCTGGCACATCCCACCTTCAACGTAATTCAAGCCGTGCCAGTGGAGGCCGAGGTGTAGTTTGATAGGTGTTAGCTACGTTGTTTTGTAGTGTTTTGGAAAGCCTAGATTTTCTTTTATAGTGTGCGAATACAGATAATAAAATATCGAAAAAGTCTTTGTCATGATTGTAAGAATGGTCGACACCAAAAATGTTTTACTGATTTCTCTGGGCTGGTATTGTATTTAGAATAAAACATTTTTATGTTCGTAGATGTCAGATTGTTACATGATTTGCTTTGGCTTTTAAAGATAATTCCCCTAGTGCAGGGATCCTCAAATCTGGCCCACGAGAGCCACTTTCCTGCAGAGTTTAGCTCTAACCCTAATCAAACACACCTGAGCATGCTAATCAATGTCTTCAGGATCATTAGAAAATCACAGGTAGCTGAGTTTGATCAGGGTTGGAGCTAAACTCTGCAGCGCATTGGACCTCCAGGGTAAGATTTGAGGAACCCTGCCCTAGTGGAATATTTTTATAGGATGTCATAACATCTGTGTTATGCTCTTTATATGGTGTTCCATTTAGTAAAATAAAGCGATCTACACAGTAAAGTACATTCTTGTTTCCTTCTGTGGAGTGACTTTAAATGTGGGGATTTTAAGCGATGTATTCATTTCTCAAGATGTGGTTATAATAATTAGTCCAGAACTTTTTTGTATTTTATATTTGCACGCTTGGATTCAGTGATTAATGTTGACACATTTTTCTTATTACGGCTGCCTTTTTACCCTGCCAATTAATCTGTCTCATACTGTGTTTCATTTGTATAAATATTTTCACAGTTTTCCTTTCCATGTTTTTATATTTCATGGCACCAGAGCACGTTTCTACACAGAAGCCAAAGGACAAAAAAAAAAAATGTTTTTCCTATTTATTTTAGTTATTTAAAATAAAGCGATCTACACAGTAAAGTACATTCTTGTTTCCTTCTGTGGAGTGACTTTAAATGTGGGGATTTTAAGCGATGTATTCATTTCTCAAGATGTGGTTATAATAATTAGTCCAGAACTTTTTTGTATTTTATATTTGCACGCTTGGATTCAGTGATTAATGTTGACACATTTTTCTTATTACGGCTGCCTTTTTACCCTGCCAATTAATCTGTCTCATACTGTGTTTCATTTGTATAAATATTTTCACAGTTTTCCTTTCCATGTTTTTATATTTCATGGCACCAGAGCACGTTTCTACACAGAAGTCAAAGGACAAAAAAAACAAAGCATTGCCGATATTTTTTTCCTATTTATTTTAGTTTTTTTTTTTTTCACTTGGCTTGCTTTCCATTGTCTCCTTTTTTACTTCAACAACAACTCACAAGGCAATTTCTGAAACCACTCATTCATCCTCCACTTCCAGATCCTGTTCTGTTAGTTAATGGATCTAAACCTTAAAAACACTCAAGTGGCATGTGTACGCAAAGCATGTTAAATTAAGACAGATCTAAAATTGGATCCTCCCATGTGTACACGTTTCCACGTCAAATCTTAAACTTTTGGAGTTGGAGCTGTGGTGTAGTGGTTACATGTTGAGTCACAGTGCTCATGTGGTTAAATCCAGTAGCAACTTTTCTGATCTTGTTTTCTTTCGTCTGTCAATTGTCTTACTAAGTAAATAAAAAAAGTTAGAATCACACTTCATTTTAAGGTCCAATTCTTGCTATTAACAAATCTTAAACTTTTGGAGTTGGAGCTGTGGTGTAGTGGTTACATGTTGAGTCACAGTGCTCATGTGGTTAAATCCAGTAGCAACTTTTCTGATCTTGTTTTCTTTCGTCTGTCAATTGTCTTACTAAGTAAATAAAAAAAGTTAGTCACACTTCATTTTAAGGTCCAATTCTTGCTATTAACAAACCATTAACTGCAGCTTTTGCCCCAATAAACTCCTAATTTGCTGCTCATTAATAGTTAGTAAGGTAGTTGTTAAGTATTGGGATTAGGGGTGTAGAATATGGTCATGTAGAATATGTGCTTTATAAGTACTAATAAACAGGCAATATGTTAATAATAGGCATGCTAATAAGCAACTAGTTAATAGTGAGAATTGGTCCCTATACTAAAGTGTTGCCAAAGTTAGTATTAAAGGGGTCATATGATGCTATTTTAAAGATCATTATTTTGGTGTTTGGTGTAACAGAATATGTACTTTACTTAGAACATACTTTAATGTTCAAAAAACACATTCTTTTTCAAATACTGTACATTATTGTAGGTCAAAACTATGACGTAAATCTATTG